GAATCTTAGAGTGTGTTTCCAGACTACCTTCTTTCCCTTATTTTGTGTCTTGACAGTTTATTTCTTTTTTACCGATGAATAATATTCCATTGTATAGTTGCTTATTCACACAGCAATAAATATTTTGGTTGTTTCCAGTTTTTGTTGATTAAGAACAAACCTATAAATATCCATGTACAGTCTCTATATCTTTTTTTCCTTTTTCTGAGCTAGCACTTCCAGAACAATGTTGAACAGAGGTCAACCTTGTTTGTTACTATTCTTAGGGGAAAGATTTTTGTTTCTCAATATAATTATGTGATTGGATAATTTTTTAAAAAACTATTGCATTGTTTGAGTCCTTACATATCTTGGATAATAACATATATTTTTTTTTTTTTTTTGTCGGTCGTGGGGCTTGAACTCTGGGCCTGGGCGCTGTCCCTCAGCTCTTCAGCTCAAGGCAAGCGCTCTACCACTTGAGCTACAGCGCCACTTCCGGTTTTCTGGTGGTTTATTGGAGATAAGAGTCTCACAGTCTCTCTTCCCCGGGCTGGCTTTGAACCGCGATCCTCAGATCTCAGCCTCCTGAGTAGCTAGAATTACAGGCGTGAGCCACCAGCGCCCGGCAATAACATATCTTATAAAGTATAAGGTTCACATATATTTTCTCCCACGCTGTTCACAAAACTTGTAAATTGCCTTAGGTAGTGAAGGGAACTGAAAATAGTTTGTGAGTTTCAAGAGTAAAATTAAAAGATCAATATAGAACACAAAAAGCAAGCTGGCACAACTCATGAAACAGAAGAGAAATGCAAAATAGTCACAGAAATAAAGTAACATTGAACAGGCTCTGTTTAGTATATAGTCAAGTACAGGAGTGCTTGGGGCAAGTGTGTGTGTGTGTCAGTGGTAGAGTGCTTGTGTAGTATGCAACAGGCCCTGGTTTCTAGACCCAGCACTGCAATAAAAAAAAAACCAAACAAAATGAAACCAAGACAAAAATCTCATTTGAGAAGGTTGACAAAAATAAATGGGAAATAACAAATAATTTAACAAATAGAAAAGTGTAGCTGTGAAATGCAGAAAAAAAGAGATTGACCATATTCCTCATAATTGTCCTCAAGTAGCTCTGACATATAGAAAAAGGATAAACAATCCAAAGGCACCACTGAAGAAAAGACTTGGAGATACAGATCAACTTCAGATTTAAACATCTAATAATGTAGATCTAATGTGTCTTTAGCAGATTCAAGTCAAGGGCAGCAGGTGGACAGTGGGAATTGCTTATTCTGTCAAATTGCAATTTGGCTAGATCTCCACTTCTTGTAGCTCAATAACCAGTCTGCAGTAAAACTTTAAGTGCTTTAGCCACATTTTGAATATGAAATAGGAAATGATTTTTATAGAATAGTATTTTTAATAAATTGGTATATAATTATAAAAAATAGTAAATAAATACAGCAGAAAGATAACTGTAGTGTAGATTCATAAAGAAAGGCCCAGGAAATTGAGAAGCTATCATGGAGAAAACTAGCTCCTTAAAATATATACGAGAAATACTATAGTAATTTTACTGGCAAGGGTCCTACAGGACATATAACAACAACAGCAACAACAACAACACAAAAGCAACAGTAATAAATAGAAGATAAGGGGTTGGGAAGGTGGCTCAGTGGTAGAGTGCTTGCCTTGCATGCATGAGGCCCTGGGTTCGATTCCTCAGCACCACATAAGCAAAAAGAAAAAAGCCGGAAGTGGTGCTGTGGCTCAAGTGGTAGAGTGCTAGCCTTGAGCTGAAGAGCTGAGGGACAGCGCCCAGGCCCAGAGTTCAGGCCCCATGACCATACCCAAAATAAATAAATAAACAAATAAACAAACAAATAAATAGAAGATAATGCTGTGTGCCAAGAGTACTTTAGGTATTTACTTTATATGCCTCGAACTTAGCTAGAAACTGGATAAACATAATCAAATGATATACTCTCAGTGATTTCCTATTCTATTAAGTTCACTTTGGACACTTAAAGCTATTTTGCAGGAGTAAGATTAGCTTAATGTGATGGTGACATTCTGCTGATTTAATTCCCATAGTACCTAAAATATTCCTAGGGAATAATCTTTATTTTTATTTTTTTATGAGTCATGGGGCCTGAACTCTGGGCCTGGGTGCTGTCCATCAGCTCTTCAGCTCAAGGCTGGTGCTCTACCACTTGAGCCACAGCACCACTTCTGGCTTTTTCTGTTTATGTGATGCTGAGGAATCGAACCCAGAGCCTCATGCATGAGGAGGAAAGCACTCTACCACTGAGCTGCTTTCCCAGCCAGTCCTAGGGAATAATCTTAAGCACAAAGGAAACTTGTTGGAAGTATGGTTTCCTTTTGCTTACAAGCTCTTTGGTAGGTATCGGATTTACTCTTTCTTCTTTAGTTCGGAGATCTCTATTATGAGCTGATCCAATGTAACTAGAAATTCTTGGATTACAACTTAAGGGCAACTTTAATGGTAGAGCCTTATAATGGTAGTCTGAACAACAGAGACCACACAAAAATTAAGATTATGTTTTTAATTTAAAGCATATTACCTTTAAATGAAATCTTGGAAATATTTGTATTAGGAGAAACTAGAGGAAATTCCATAAAATGGCAAAATGAAATATTAGCAATGAAAGGTTTACTGAAGAGAAGTTGTATTAACTTAAGATTTTAATGTTTATTTAGTTATCTTATCCAAAAGGCAAAAATCTTTAGCCTTTATCTTTGGGATACTGTTGGGATCCATCATGACCATCTCAGTGGACCACACAGAGGGAGGCAGGCACAGGAGAAAGATTATTATAAGGTTTATTGGAGGGGCATATCTCCCCTGGGAGAGTGAGCATATAGCATCCACCCCTATCCAGGTGGCAGGTAGGTCTGGGGCAAGTGGTATGGGCAGGTAGGTCTGGGCAGAGAGGGAGTGGCCGGCTATCTGCTGGGAACTCTAGGGCAGGGAGGAGCTCAGATCTGGGTGGAGCTGAGGACTGGAGATGGGGATAATGCTAACAGATGCCTTTTCTCTTAAATGTTGCTTTCTGACAAAGTCCAGCTTATTTAACAAGAATTCAGTGTTATCTCTAGAGTTAGGAATGCTCATGACAAGACAGATATTGCTAAGTAGGTGTTCTGTACTTATTCTCGACACATATGTAATCCTTTGAAGTAGACACCAGTGACAGTTTAAATGGAGAAGCACAAAAAAGGAAAGTGACACCTGGTAAGTATGTGAAGGAGTTTTGATGAATATTTGCATGCTGATTTTCTGGATGAGAATCTTTTTCTCACACCATAATCTATGCCCACATAGACTCAGCAGCTCAGAGTTTCTAACCCTGGTAAAACTAAAAGCTTGACTGCAGACCTAACCTTAAGGGGCCTTCCAAAAGTTAGGCACACTTTTCTAGATATAGTTCCTCAACTGCGAATTAAAAACCGGAAAGTATGCTCTTTCATCTCAAAGCACTTAGCTGGACTGGCAGTATTAAATTAAGACGAGGAAGTTCAAATGCTATTTTGTGGCACTAAAGCAGATAATATGTTTTTGTTTTGAACTCTGATGAAAATAAGTTCAATGTTTGTGGGCTGTTTAGCATCCCAACAAGGTCTTTTAATGACTCTGCTTAAACGGCTGGCCCATTTCTTGCTTTAATTTTTATCTGATTCCTTAATTCATAAGTCAGAAGGCATTTGCTGGTTATATCACCTTATGTTGCCTCTTGTTTCTTCTAGTTTTCTGGAAGGGATAGGGGTTGGCTTTGTGATGTTGGGGAAGAGGGAGTACACTTGGTGGAACCCTGGGGTTATCATTTTCACTTTTGACTTTAGAATAGAATGTTGAGTAAACCTCAATTACAACTACTTAAAGATAATAAAAATATAATTAAAAAAATGTTGGATACTTGGATCTTCCCCCTTCCCCATACTAAATGGTTGTACGAAAGGGTTACAATTCCTTAAGTCAGGTTATGAGTACAAGGCTTCTTCTTCTTCCTCTTCCTCCTCCTCCTCCTCTTCCTCTTCCTCTTCTCCTCCTCCTCCTCCTTCTTCTTTTGTCGGTCATGGGGCTTGAACTCTGGGCCTGGGCATTGTACCTCAGCTCTTCAGCTCAAGGTGACCACTCTACCACTTGAGCCACAGCTCCACTTCTGGTTTTCTGGAGGTTTATTGGAGATAAGATTCTCACAGACTTTCCTGCTTGGGCTGGTTTTGAACTGTGATCCTCACGTCTCAGCTTCCTGAGTAGCTAGGATTACAGGCATGAGCCACCTGCGCCCAGTTAACGAGTACAGTGGTTCTTCCTCAATGTTACCCCTTCCTTTGTTCTTCCCCATTTTCCACCTCCCGTCCCTACCCTCACGTTGTATAGTTCATTTTTGACATAATGTACATTGCATGTGACTGCATTACACAAATATTTAAATGTACACAAAAGTCCAGAGAACTGTATAATTAACCTACATGCACCCTCAACCAGTTTCAACAATAATTAATACTTTTAGTCAATCTTCTAATCAAAATGTAATATTCTGGGGTTTTGATTCCTTGATCTGTGTTTAGCTATTGTCTTTCATGTTTTGGTTCTTGGAGCCTTGAACATTACACAAATGTGAAAAAAGATTTGAGTGAGAAATGCAGTGTTTAACAAAAGTGTAGATCAGCTTTAACTCACTTCTCTCTCAGAGAAAGCGACTGGGTTATAGGCTGGAACTTGGTGGTATTTGTTGTGGTTTAGAGATGTTCCTTAAAGAACTGATTACTATTTTGGTGTCCATGTCCAAGACTGGATTAAAAATGGAGTTGGGAAAAGTAGGCCCTATTCTGTTTTCTGAATATTTAAAGAGTAGTTTCACTCTGAGTATTTCAGTATTTTCCCTCCGCATTTTCAGTCCCCTGAGGACGTGTCATCGTTGGGGCTAGTTTGTTTGAGTCTTAGTATTGACCCCTTCATGTCCTCTTTCACTCAGCTCCTGTCTGTTCCGCAGAAAAGCTGAGCTCGCGGGTTCTGCTGCATCAGAAAGCCCCAGACCCCAGTACATTTGAAAGCGGATACGATTGCCCGAGCTTCCCCCCCCTGTCGTCTCATTTGAATCTCCGCGGCTCCTCATTTAAAAAAAGTGTTTCCGAAATGCCCCAACCCACGGCGGAGAGGCTAGGGATCCAGCGGGGGAATGCACCGCAGCCCTCGGTTCTCTGGGGCTCCTGTTTCCTTAAGCCCAGAGGGCGTGGTCGATCGTGCTCACGGTCCCGCCTCTCGCCTCCGCCCCGCGCTCCTCCGCGGAGTTTCACCCGCTACGCTGGCCACGATGGGTGGGGAGAATCTATGGGTCCGTGCATTCCGGGCTCCACGTTCTGCTTCCCAGTAGTTGGCAGGAGGAGCCCAGCAATCTTCAGAGACAGGCTGTGGAAGTTAAGACCCCGGCCATTCTGAGGGCGTTGGCCTAGAAAAAGATCAAACGAGTTAGTTTCTCCTAGTCCCGTCTGGCGCTGGTGGCCAGGGCCGCGGGCGGAGATGCCAAGGAGCGGCCCGAGGAGACCTGGTTCCCTGCCCCGGCGGTGCACCTCCGCTCTGCGCCCCTAGGCGGCACTGCGCTCCTCCGCGCCGGGCGCTCTCTAAGTTCCCAGACGGCGGCCCAGCCTTCAGTCCAGCAAACCAAGCTTGCAGCCGGCTGGCCAGCCCGAGGTGATTCCCCGAGATTCCGGAGGCGGATCGTCGGCGGCCGCTGCCTTTCTAGCCCTCCTCGGAGCCTGCTGTCGGCCGTGGCGTGTGCTCTCCGGGAGCCCGGAGCATGGTCCCAGGTTCATCTCTAGAGGAGCGTGGGCACCCAAAGGGAGGATGGTGGGCTGGGGAGTGGCTGTTCTCTGTTTGTGGGTCTCCTCTGGCGCTGCCGCTGGACAGCTGGAGTACTCAGTCTTTGAGGAGACGGAACGGGGCGTCGCTGTAGGCAACGTTGCAGCCGACTTGAAGTTGTCGGCGGCTGATCTGCCCTTGAGGAACTTTCGCTTCCTGTCCAGCCACAGCGAGCCCTACTTTGGGGTGGACCCTAGGAGCGGTAGCCTGGTGGTTCGAGAGCCAGTAGATCGTGAGCAGCTGTGCGGGACCAAAGCTGCCTGCTTCTTGACCTATGAGCTAATGTTGGAGGACCCACTGGAGCTTTACAAGATGCGAGTTCACGTCGTGGACACCAATGACAACTCTCCTCTCTTCCCTGCTGGCGATGTGCAGCTGCACATCCCAGAGTTCCTAACCCCCGGAGCCCGCTTTACACTTGCCAATGCCCAAGATGCTGACGAGGGAAGCAACGCCGTGCTAAGCTACAGCCTAAGTTCCAACCAGTACTTCCGCCTAGAGATGGGGTCACGGGTCGACGGCAGCAAATACCCAGAGTTAGTGTTGGAAAAAGCGCTGGATCGAGAGCAACGTGTCACCCACCTGCTGGTGCTCACAGCTCAGGACGGAGGGCTGCCTGCGCGCTCCGGAGACGCACAGGTAACCATCATAGTGGTGGACACAAATGACAACGCACCTGTTTTTGAGCGCTCGGTGTATCACACCAGGGTTCCAGAGACTGCATCCAATGGGACCGTGTTATTTCAAGTTCAGGCCTCCGATCCGGATGAAGGCTCCAATGGGGAAGTCTGGTACTCCCTAAGCAATAGCACCCTAGCAGAGCTGAGACACCTCTTTCACGTGCATCCAAAAAGTGGGGAGGTGCGAGTAGCTGCTTTGCTGGGTCCCCCCGAAACTCTACTGGAGGCATACATAGAAGCAAGAGACGAAGGTGCCTTCAGTTTAGCTAGCACTGCTAAACTGCTGGTGGAAGTAACTGATGTGAACGATCATGCCCCAGAGATGGATTTCATGACTATCTCCAGTCCAGTACCTGAGGATGCCACCCCAGGCACAGTGATTGCTCTTCTTAGTGTAAAAGATGAGGACCTTGGTCTCAATGGTAGGGTCATTTGTAGCATGAGCAGCAGTGGTCCTTTTCAGTTGAAGTCTTCTTTTGACAACTACTACAGCCTGCTGACTGATGGGCCTCTGGATCGGGAGCAGACAAGTGAATACCAGGTCTTGATAACTGCCTCAGATAGTGGCACACCTCCACTCAGCACCCAAAGGACACTCACTGTGTCAGTCTCTGATGTGAATGACAACACACCTAGCTTTCATCAAGCACATCAGGAGCTTTTTGTGGCTGAAAATAATGGCCCTGGAGCCTCTTTAGGCTATGTGTTTGCCAAGGATCCAGACTTGGGGATGAATGGCCATGTCTTTTATGAACTGTTGGATGTTATTTCTGAAGGGTTGTCAGCCTCTAGCTTAGTGGTAGTGGAACCATCCAGTGGGGCTATCACTGCTAAAACTTCCTTTGATTTTGAGCAACTCAGGGGGTTTCACTTTCAAGTGGAAGGCCGGGATGGTGGCATTCCCCCTAGAAGTGCCACAGTGACCATCAGTTTGTTTGTGATAGATAGGAATGACAATGCACCAGTCATCTTGTTTCCCTTGCCCAGAAATGGCTCTATCCCAGTGGAAATTGTACCTCGCTCTGCCAGAACTGGACATTTGGTCACAAAAGTAGTAGCAGAGGATGCAGACAGTGGTTCCAATGCTTGGCTCTCCTACCACATCTCTCAGGCTTCTGATGCTACCCTCTTCAGTATTTCAGCCATTATGGGAGAGCTTCATACTGCGCGTTTAGTTCTTCCCACAGATGCAGTTAAGCAGAAGGTGGTGGTAGTGGTTCAGGACCATGGAGAGCCACCGCTTTCCTCCTCTGTCACTATAGGTGTGTTGTTGAGTGATTCTGCCCCTGCGATCCTTCCAGACTTTGAAGATATGTGGGAACCAGGAGGGCAGCTTTCTGGCCAGAACCTGTACTTAGTAATTGCCTTGGCTTGCATTTCCTTCTTGTTTCTGGGATGCTTACTTTTCGTTGTGTGTACCAAATTGAGACAGAGCCTGGGTTGTTGTTCTCAGAGCTGCTGTCATTCTTCAAAGGATCTGAGGCATGGACGAAAGATGACTTCTAATCCTTGCATGACATCAGCCACAATAGATGTCACTACAATTGAGAGACTTTCTCAAACCTATCTCTATCGAGCCTCTCTGGGGCTTGGTTCTGATAATAATAGTTTATTCTTGTGTGGGGAATACAACACTACTGACCTGAGAAATCTGGCCACTGGTGTAGGACTGAATATACCAATATCCTGTGTTCAGATTCGCAACAGGAAAGGAGATCATGCAAATGTCAATATCATGGTAAGCAACATTTTTTTTTGGATTTGATTCCTCTGACTAGGAGATAGATGTTAGGAGTTCTGAAACATTTCGTAGATGAACCATTGATAACATTTAGTCAATTGAACTGAACATTTCTTAGCCAAGAATTCTGGGAGTATAAAAGTATTAGAATACTGTTCTAGCCTAAAAGGAACTTACATAGTTTATTTTTGAGCAACGAGGGCAAAACACGAAACTTATAAACAATAAAAATAATATTTCATAGATGTCTAAAATTAAAAATAAAAAAGTGCCAAGATTTTTCTTGGGTAACACATGTGTAAGGCACTTTGACACCTAAAATGAAAAATGAATAATATGTAAGAGTCCTCATATTATGAGCAAAATATGGGGAAACATTTATTTAAACCATTATACATCATAAAAAGGTTATGATAACCACAGAATATATATAAATAAGTTGTAGTGTGCATTTACAAAGGGAGAGACAAAACATTGGGCAGAGAAGTAAGGGATCAGAGAAGGCTTTGTGATAGATTTGGATTGTAAATGATTTACTATGTAATCAGATGCAACATACTCTATATCCTATACTTTTTATGAATATTGATGTGGCAAAATAATCTTTGAGGAATGCGTTCCAAAACGCAGCCAATGACTCCACATTAGAATTTTGTAAATACATAGAAATCATAAACATGTCTCAAAACACCTACTTGTACTAATATAAAGATGATACTATTACATATAGGACTTGATAATCTTGTGTTTTTAATGTATTTCATTTAAAAAAAAAGGATGACTAATCTTGATGTCAGAAATAATTTTGTGTTCAAGGGTAGACTCAATTTCCATTCAATTTATATTTAATTTTATTATTTAGAAGTCAAGGAGACTTAACAAATAAGAAACTAACACATTTGAGAATAGTGCATCTACTAAAGAGTGAAGTGGTCAAGTATTTCACTTTTATCTATAGTGGCTTTTGGCAGTCAAAATTTATGATTGTAGTCAGGACAAAATTTTTACATCATTATTAACAAGTTTGTATGATTACTTTCTGGCCTTATATAGAAATCATAGATACAAGAAATCATGGATAAAATGGAATAAAATATTCCTTATTTTATTCTAGGCAATGAAGGGGGAAAGTGGATTGTGAGTTACTCTCCCTCAAATAACGATGTCCACTGCAAATATAATAGATTTACAGCCATTATTTTTGTATACTTAGTACTTTCTCACATGATATAATCTAACATGAATCAAATATATAAGATGATTTCTGAATGAATAAACAGATAAATATGCAAATATATGAATTGAGTGGTAACATTATTCAACACAGAGAAAAACTAACTTTCTTTTCTGTTTTACATGTGTATATATGGTTGCTTAGTGGCCATTTTCAAATACATTTTGATATTATTTTCTTCCTGATGACATATAGTATTGAAACAACTTTTTTTGGTACTAGATCTAGCATGGAAAAGCCTCTATTTTAGAGCTAAACATGAATCCAGTTCTATAGTTGATAAAGGAACTAATAGGACCACACATCACTTCATAGTGATATTTTCAGGGAATGCTACTTACAGGAGCTCAGTTAATTTTAAAGGAGAAAAGTGATTCACCCCATTGTTCACATTTCAAGTACAAAGCCCTTGACATAATGTTAACATTTTCCCTATCAATCAGATTCTCTCCCTCCCTCTCTTCCTCCCTTCTCTCATTTCCTTCCTTCCTTCCTTCCTTCCTTCCTTCCTTCCTTCCTTCCTTCCTTCCTTCCTTCCTTCCTTCCTTCCTTCCTTCCTTCCTTCCTTCCTTCCTTCCTTCCTTCCTTCCTTCCTTCCTTTTGCCTTGTGTAACAAATAACTAGTATTCTGACTTGGAGAATACTAGTGATAAGACCACCAGTGAAGTTTGGAAGTCAGGGGCTATTTGAGAAACACATTTTTACCACAAAAGACAATGTAAGTAAGTCATAGGCAGGTCAATAACTCTGGAAGAGAAAAGTAACAAATTAAAAGAAAAAATAACTGACCTAGCCATACCACTCCTATGCATGTATCCAGAGCATCACAGGCCAGAATACCAAAAAGACACTTGCACATCCATGTTCACTGCTGCACTATTCACAATAGCCAAGTTATGGAACCAGCCCAGCTGCCCTACAATAGATGAGTGGATCTAAAAAACATGGTATATATACACAATGGAATTTTACTCAGCCATTGGAAAGAATAATATTATGTCATTTGCAGGGGAATGGATAGACCTAGAACAAATCATGTTAATTGAGGTAGGCCAAGCTCAGAGAGAAAAGTGGTGCATGTTTTCTCTCATATGTAAAAACTAGATTTAAAATACACTGTGACATGATAAATTATACAGGACTCTAGGAATTCACATGCAGTGAGACCAAAAGAGGATAATCTTGGGAGAGAAACACAAAGGCAAAATGCCTATATGCCTCTGATCGTACAAAATAATATTTATTGAAATGAACTCCAGAAAATGAGGAAAGATTTTTTTCTTTGCTGCTGTTTTCATTTTCTTTTTTTGTCTTATTTGATCATTTGTATGTCTTTAGGAGGGTAAGGGGAGACACAGACATGGAGGGACAAAGGGTGAATAAATGCAGCAGAGAGTACTCACTAGACATTATGTTGAAAATGAACTATACAATTTCTTGGTGGGGATGGAAGGGAAAAACTGGGAGAGAGTGAAGGAAGGGGTAACATTGTCCAAAAAGAAATGTATTCACTACCTGACTTATGTAACTGTAACACCTGTATGTCACCTTTATAATAACAAAAAATTGAAAAAGGAAAAATATGGCTAACACTAGAGAAAAATGCCTCTCTCTTCATTCCATCTTTAAACTTATATGAATGATAAAGTAACATATGCCGTTTATACAGGACTATTATGCTGTTCCATTCACCTGGCTGCCCTATCATTTTCCAGCTTCATTGATACTATACTTTCAGGTAGCCTACTGGCTTGTTGTTTTGTTTTTTGTTTTTTTTGGGGGGGGTCCAGTTGTGGGGCCTGAACGCTGGGCCTGGGCGCTGTCCCTCAGCTCTTCAGCTCAAGGCTAGCGCTCTACCACTTGACCCACAGCGCCACTTCCAGCTTTTTTCTTTTTGCTTATGTGGTGCTGAGGAATTGAACCCAGGGCCTCAGGCATGCAAGGCAAACGCTCTACCACTGAGCCACCTTCCCAGCCCGGCTTGTTATTTTTTTATGGAACAGGTAATTATTTTTAAAAATGTGAGTGAAATAACTTCAGTGGACTGAGGGCATTTGTACTTCATACAGACATTTATTATTTGTTTCTCTTACTTAATTTCATTTTGTTCCAATCTTGATGCTTTTTTTCCTAATCTTGATTCTTTAGTCAGGAATACTTGTCATAGTATACCGAATTCTAGGAATAAAACTATCTAGGAATAAAACATTTGTTATTTGAATTTTATTAAACAATTTATAAAACAATGATTATATATGCCTATTCATAGGACCATGTTGATACATGTTTGTTTATATATTTATTTTTGTGGCTGGTCCTGAAGCTTGAACTCAGAGCCTCATACTCTCATTCAGCTTTTTTTAGCTCATTGATGCATGTTAATATTTTACTCAAATTTTAAGTTCTCTCATTTTAGCTTAAATGTATTATGTATATTAACAATTAATGAATTACTTTTATAAATATTTTAAAAATTGTTATTGTAGCAATTTTTAGATAATATATGTTAATGTAGCAAAATGCATGAGAAACAGCATTAAAAATTGCATATAAGCTGGGCATTGTGGCTTACATCTATAATCCTCAGATTTACAGTTTACTCAGGAGGGTGAGGTCTGAGAATCATGTTTCAAAACCGGTCTGGACAGGAAAATCCATGAGACTCTTATCTCCAAATAACCAAACCATAAGTGAATCTGTGGCTCAAAGTGGTAGAACACTAGGTTTGAACAAAAAAGCTCAGGGACCTGAGCACCTAGGCCCTGAGTTCAAGCCCCATGACTGACAAAAATATTCCATACGAGAATTATAATTTGCAATACCAATGTTATATGACTGTATTATTGTTCAAGCATTAAACTAATTTTTCCATGCTATATAGAATATGGATTTTTCCCCTTTGCAATGTCAGTTTTTAGCTAGTATAATATTTTGGTAATCAAGGTGTTTTATTTGTTAACACATATTCCTTGAACAAACTTTCCATAGGATACTGAGATATTTCCTTACATCGATTTTTAACTTTGAAACTGATGGCCACACTTTAAAAAATTATTAGAGTGCTGGAACTAAGGAAGCTTGCATGCATGTGAAATATAGTTGGCTTAAAAGACTCATTTATACAACATAATAATATTTTTGTAACCAGTAAAAAGGAAAGGAAGATACTATTATAATTTGAGTGGACAGACAGAAAAGCAATATTTGGGAAACATATGAGTGGGAAAGTATTGACAATATGTGATAATGCCAGTGACCTATTGATTTTTGTTGTCTTTAATATTTGCAGCATTCAGAGGCAAATAATAATAATCCAGAGACTAAATTCACTTAGCTGAGTTGGAATGAAGGTAGACTAAATTCAGTGCTCATTTGGATAGTATGTGAATATCACAATATTTGTCAAGACATCAAGTGAATATGGAACAAAGTCTAGGATCCTGACTGAAAGAAAGTATTATGGAATATAAGGATATGTTAGAGTAAATCTTTAAAAAAAACTAACAATGATTGATAAAAGGTGAACACTTACAATTTTAATTGATGGGATAAAAGAAGGCTCAGAATATAAATAAATTACATGTCTCTTTTAAACTGTACATATGAAATTAGAGGTATTAGGACAATAATTTTAATAATACCTCTAATTTCATATAGAGGTATTAGGACAATAATTTTCTTAGCACACTATAAACTCAGAAGGGCATTATATATCCATCTGGAACCTGTTTGGAATGAGTATATAATCACATTCTCTGTGTTCTGCCGAGAGAGAAAAAAGCCTTCTTTC